CTTCAAAAGGTGTGGATAGAAATCTTGGTCAGAGGCAACAATCCACATATCAACCACACAGCAAATACAACCTGCTCGATTTTTGGCCTCACCTCCTATTTGCTGCGTTAATGGTGTTAATGCGACTCGGCACAAAGAGCTTTCTGACTCTGATGGGGGACAGGGCCTTACTGGGGCTGTGTTGAGACTGATGGACATACTCTGTCCCTGAGAAATCACACTGATTTTTTTTAAATACAGTGACGCCCTGCAGAGTTTTGCAATGGATATGAGAGAACAAAACTTGAGACGAAGAGGTTCTAGAGAGCTGAAGCTCGGGCCTTGGATGTGGACAGGAAATAACAGCTCTGAAAGAGAACAGAGACTACTAGGCAAGGAGACCAGCTAATCCTGGGCTGCCCCTGTCCTTCTGGATCCCTGGTTGGGGCGGCACGAGGGCCACCAGGCAGAGGGCACCCAGCGGAAAATTCCCAGCTCTGGTCACCTTATGGAGAGAGGCGTTCTTGATTGTGCGGTTGGGAGGTTTCCAAGGAGAAATGGAAAAAGAAAAGAAAGTGCTTTAATCCCCCTCTTGGGTCTGGATGGTGGCGTATGTGACAGCAGCTGGGTGGAGGGAAGTGACCTAGATAACCCTGGTCTGAATTCCTAAGCATCAAAAATCTCTAAACAGATTCAGGCAACTGGCACCGCAGCTTCCTCCACAGAAAACGCGTTCCTATTTATGATGCTGACACAGTCAACTTATAAAGATAGATTGGAAGAAAAAGCCTGTAAAGCTGTGTGCCTCAGATGATAAAGAAAGAGGAATTCTGATTCACAACTGTTAGCTTAATGGCAACCAATTCATTTTCTTTGATGGTGCTCGCTCTGAAATTGTGGCTGCTGGGAGGAAAAACAAAGCCCCTGGCTTTCACTCATTCATTCAACAACCATTCCGTGAGCATCTGCTGTGTGCCAGTGCCATACCACCTGCTGAGGTATGGTGATGGAGAAGACAGCTCTGGTCTTCATGGAGCTCTTGATATAACTGTGCGCTAGCACGAGCTAGCATGATCTCGAATCCACAGACCAAAACTCGGCTGACCATTGGTGGGGTGCGGGATGCCCAGGAAGGCCCCTAGGACAGATCATGTTTGAGCTGACCTCTAAAGAGGAATAGCTGGATGCTCCCCAGGTGGGTGGCACAGAGGTGGGGAGGACTGGGGAGTGGAGGAGGCGGAGGGCCATGCTAAGGGACGGGGCTTCCTCCCAGCAGCGAGGGGTTTTAAGCAGAAAGTGACATGGTCAGATTTTATTTTAGAAGGAAACTCGTGGTGGGGGGGGTTGTTAATTATTTACAGCATACTGAGTGGACATTTATTTGGAAGTAGTTTGCCTTCTGAATTGGTTGTTATTTTCAGTCCCTGGTTAGTAACACTCAGCCAAAAACAGCCAAGGAAATTTACTTCTCTCCCTTTCAGTGGCTTCGTACCATGGTCTGGATTCTGGAAGTTGAATGATGATGGGTTTGTGGTCACAAGGGAGTCCCATGGAGCATACATTTCCTAAGATTTTATTGGAGGCTCTCAATTATGCCTTTTCTTTTGTGGTCTAACTGCAGGAAGAATTCTACCTGTAACACAGGTTGGCGACCCCCGGAGAAGCCGTACTTGACAAATGTACTGTACCGAGAGGTCCGGGCCTTTCTTCCACATCCAGTAAGTAACCTGAAGACTCCAGGGCAGGCGGGGTGGCTCTGGGTGTGAGAGCTGAATTCAGAGATCCATTCCTCTCCAGTGGCCTTTTCCTCTAGGGCAGGGTTCCCAGTCTTGGCACTGCTGACATTTAGGGCCAGATAGTTCTTTGTTGTGGGGGCTGTCTGGTGCATTATAGGAGGGGTCCCCACCCTCCAGGCCGTGGGACTGGTAACAGTCTGGGCCTGTTAGGAACCGGGCTGCACAGCAGGAGATGAGCTTGAATGCAATGTGCTTGAATCATCCTGAAACCAACCTCTTCTCCATGGTCCATGGAAAACCTGTCTTCCACGAAACCAGTCCCTGGTGCCAAAAAGGTTGGGGACCTCTGCGTTATAAGATGTTTAGCAGTATCTCTGGCTTCTACACACTAGTTGCCAGTAGCACACTCAAGCTGTGACAAACAGGAATGTCTCCAAACATGTAAGCATCCATGTGGGGCAAGACTGCTCCCAGCTGAGATCGTTTTTCTACAGGACAGTTTTCCACTGTCATCTTACGGAACTCAGGACAGCATTTAGCACAACTGATCACTCTTCCTCTTGACACTTGCCTTCCTTGTACACTCTTCTTGTTTTTCTTCTAACACTCTGGCCAGTTCTTGGGCAACTCTTGGGGCCTCCCCATCCTCTTCCTGGTCTCCAAATGCTGCCATCCCTTGGCGCTTGCACCGGAACCCCTTTCCCTTTATATTTTCACTGTCTCTCTCTCGTTCATACCCAGGATTTTAAATACCTTCTATTAGTGAAACACTCCCAAGCTTGTCTCCCGCCCTGATCTCTTGTCTAAGCACCAGACTCTTCTTTTGTTTTAGATGTCTCATTGGCATCATGAGGTCATCCATCTTTCTCCAAAGTCCATTTTTCTTCTCATGTCTACCTACTGGCTGGCTAAGCCATACACCTGAAGGTTATCCCGACTCTTCCTTTCCTCTTACAGTCACATCCAGCCTAGACCAATCCCTGTCAATTCTGCCTTCAAAATGTACCTTAAAAGCACCCGCTCCCAGCCCTCTAGTCTGAGCTGCCACAGAACCTAAATAACCAGTAACGAAAACCATTCCGAGGACCTTGGGATTTCCTACTTCCACTCCGCTCCCTTCCAGGCCACGCCCCATCCAGAGCGAGCTTCCAAAGCATGAATTAGACCTTATCATTCGATTCCTTAAAAGGCATTCGATTACCCTTGAATGAAATAAAATCTAAGTGTCTTAACACGGCCCCACCCCCCGTCCAAGCCTCCCTGGCACCCTTCTTCCTCGCTCCCACTGCCGCTGCCCTCCCGGCCTTCTTTTGCTCTCAGTCGTGCCACCTTGGGGCTTCCACATGTGATGCTACCTCCACCGGGAGAAAGCCCCCCAGCTCTTTCCATCCTGTGGGGACGCAGCATGTCATTTCCTCCAGAACATCTTTCCTGATCCCCTCCTTTCAAATTCAATTTCCCTCTGTGTACACATGTGATCATTTCTTTGTTTTATGTCTCCACTGCTAGATGGCGGGGTGGTGTCCTGAGGGAAGGGGCCCTCAGCATCTCTTCTGCCCATTGCCATGTCCCCATCTGAACTCTGTATGTCACACTCAGTGAGTACCCAGTGAATACTTACTGGATGAATGACTATTCACCTCTCATTTCCTTGGTCAAACTGTATCCAGAAAAGAATACTATGACCCAGAGAAATGAATGGCTATGAAGCCAGAAGACAAAGAGGAGTGTCTGTGTCAATGGAAACAAGCTTCCCAGTGGGGGTCCTGGGAGCAGGAAGCACAGCGAAATGAGTCAGGCACCACTGATCGGAAACGAGCTTGTTGATTTCCTTGTTTTATTCCATATTTGTCCTAAGACTTGCCACAGAATCAGGAGGGAGCTCCCTGACTAACAGGCGGGACCACCCCAAGACCATCTAAGAGGAAGAGCTGAAGTTAGTTCAGAGTTCTCTGGCAACTCTGCTTTACTGGAAGTCCCGAGCTCCCAAAGAGGCCAGATGTCCAGGAAGGACAGCTTCACCCGTATGTTGCACAATGCTCTGCACATCACTGCAGCCCCATATGTATTGCCGGCCTTGATATGAAACCACAGACATGTCTCCTCCGTACAGGCAGACAGAGGCGGCCAGGTTTCTTGTCTTCAGCAGGCCCCTGTTACACGGAGAGCATTTTACTTTGTTTTTCTGAAAATTCACAAGTGTGGCTGGCTGCAGACTGTAGTTTAAACTGATGATGTTAAAAAGCTCAGCCTTTGAGTAGAACTGAGAGCCATTTACATCAGCCTCTCCTGGTCTTTGAAAGGATGGCAGCTGCAGCGCACACGCCTGCAATTGAGCAGCTTGGCATTTGCTAAACTCAGGTTAGACCTTTCTATCCAGATTAATCTGGAACTATGGAGGAAAAAACACAAACCCCATTGGTGGCCCAGTTTGTGCAACAGTGGAATTTATTTTTAATGGGCTTATTTATTGTGTCTGAAATCAGCCTTGTTGAACCCGAGAGATGGGTTTCAAGGTCCATGTGTTACTGCTCAAGGACGAGTCTGGGGCCCTGAGTCCAAACATATTGCGGTTGGCTGCATGTTGCTAAACAACTAAAATAGCCTTGCATCTGTTATTTACAAGGGGATGGCCCAAGTTCCTCAGCCCCCATCGATAAAGTACTAATGGGATATGAATGATGACTTGCACCAGCTGTAACATAAGAAGGTCGGACTGAAGCAGTGGGAGGGTAAAAGCTGTAGAGGAAGATATTCTCCTGAGTTTATTCTCACTCAACACAAAACAAGGACAAGCCCCCATGAAAGTGCTTCCTGTTTTGAGGGAAAGGTTCCGGGCCGAGAGAAGCTGCACAAGTTTCAGAGTTCATTCAGAGGGGACTGACTAAGCATCTTCTGTGCGTTGGACCTCACAGATACGTCATACACAGCCCCTGCCTCACAGATGGGGCCTGGAAAAACAGGAAGCCAGAGGTAACTGCTGCTTTTTCAGAGCCACCCATATGTTGGATAGTTCAGCCTTGTGAATAGTTTGCTGCCCAGCATGATGGCAGAACTGGGGACACAGGAAGGCTACACTGAAACTGCGCGGCAGCCATGGCCAGTGATGGGCCTTGCGGAGCTGGGACTTTATTTTGAGGCTGCAAATAAGAATCCAGCAAGATGTGAAACTAAAGTGAATCAACACAAAGACAGATAGATGGAAAGCTCCTAGGTTAGAATGGACTTAATAGTATTTGCTGAATGAATGAATCTCTTCCGCATGTCATCCCATCTATTGCTTACCTCAGATTCTTTGTAGTAACGTTCTGGAATTTCATCGCAGGCAATATCAATAAAGCAAACTTCTCTCTCTAGGTCTTTGGCTTCATTGTCAAAAATCTGAAAGAACAGAGCAACATATCAAAGGTTAGTGATACCAGGTGACATCCTCAAGGTGCCCCCGGGTAGAATAACACCCTGCAGGGCCCCCTCACGAGGCTCAGAGCCCCGGCTGGTGCTTTCCGCCTGCCTCTCAGTGTGCAGGAAGCGTGAAAGGCTTCCATTCACCGCCTGCGTTGTGCCGCATCGGAGGCCGGTGTAGCATCAATCACTGCTCGGAAGAAGAAAAGGAAGGTTGTTTTCAGAAGTTCAAGAATGAAGAAATAAATCTCTTCCCAAAATGACGTCTGATGATTTTTGGCAGTTAATCTGAATGGGGGGTGAGAAGGCTAAAAAGGGTCCGGCTAGAGGTGAGGCATAAAGCAGTAATACCGCCTGAGATTGAGAGAATTAAAAAATGCGGGTTTTTTTAAAAATTAAAAATTTTCTATTTAATTTCACAAATAATACATGCTCACTGTAGAAACTACAAATAAACAGAAGAAAATGAAGACTGTCCATGATCTCATTACCCAGGGATACACATGGTATTGCTCTTGATCATTAGGAGCGCGGTTTCCCTGGTGCACGCAGGGGTGAGAAGGTTTTGACAAGGTACTGAGATGGCTTCCGGCCGGTCTACTCTGGGTTTCACGGCCCACAGTGTCTATCACTTGCAAAGGAACCTGTAAGAGAGCCACATATACAGACATACATTTTGGTGGAAAGATTACATTCCTTTAGTTTTTCTGGATGAAAGGGATGAGCTTCCCAGCCCTTCGGAAGGATGGTAAACAGATTAAGTTTGCAAAACCACTTCATCCTTGCAGGAAGTTTTAACTATGCCCCTGCTTCACTGCTGAACTAATTCCAGCAGGGGAATCATTCGTTAACACTAATTAAACCTGACTCTTCAGAAGGGAATGAAATATTTTGGAAGAACAGGGTGGCTGATGCCTCAGAACATTGTCTTGACACAAATTTGGTGCCTATTAATAACAAGATCTCCCAGGAGAGCAACCGCGGGCCTCTTTGTATGCTACACTCTCCCTGTTTTGATTCTCAAGGTGAAACTATTAGTCTTTTCCAAATGCTTTCTGAGTAATACTGGCACTGGCAATTATTCTCCAAGCCTGCTGTTTGCTCTGTCGCTCATTTTCATCTAGGAGACCTGGGCTCCTTCCCACGTGTCCAAGGAGATGAACTCCATGGTCTGACCTGCGGGGGCCACTGCATCTTCCCTGAAGACAGAGAAAGGCTCGTTCCTGGATCAGCTCTGATTCCTTCCACTGCCACTTGAAGTCAAGTGCTTTGGGACACTCCTACAGTGTCTGGGAGGGACAGGTGGACTGCTTTGAAATGAAAGAGATGGTGGGGAAACAGGTTCGAGCTTGAGTGGAGAAATAAGTTGTGGATGTCTGTGTGTTTTCTCTCTCTCATTGAGGTATGTGCCAAGAGAAGAAAGACTCATGCCTTATTAAAAACAAGACAACATGGAACGCCCCAGAGGGAAATGAGCTTCTGGAGAGTAAATTACAGAGGAAGTTAGAGAGGTTTGACAATTGTTGGTGGTAAAATTTAAGAGTCTGAAAGGAGGGGAAAGAAACAGGGGTTAAGAGAGTTATTGACGGATTATGCAGCTTTTCCTACTTTAATTCAAACACTTTTTTTTAAAAGATTTTATTTATTTATTTTTAGAGAAAGCAGAAAGTTGAGGGAGAATGAGAGGAAGAGAAACATCAATGTGTGGTTGCCTCTTGCATGCCCACAACTGTGCACCTGGCCTATAACCCAGGCCTGTGCCCTGACTGGGAATCAAACCAGCGACCCTTTGGCTTGCAGGCAGGCACTCAATCCACTGAGCCACATCAGCCAGGGCTAATTCAAACATTTTTGATCACTCATTATACCAGTTACATTCCTGCCTCCCAGCTCCAAGTTTACCCTTTGGCCTCCGCTCTGAGATGAGTGGCTGGACCCTGGACATCCTTCTACTTTATAGCAAGTACAACATTAAACCATGTACTGGAGGGACCCTGCTGGAAGAAGGGGGCTTCTCTTCTTGGTTTGGATCTTACTCCTGCTGCAGAATCTATCAATGGGGACATTCAGTAGTGCTGTCCCAGATGTGTGCCCGGAGTGTCCTGTTGCTTGGTGACTGTGCAGCCCTGGCCTTCACCGCGGCCCTCTGGATGCGGCACCGCGCACTCGAGGCCTTTCATTGGTTGCGGTGATCCGACTCTACACACCTGCCATCAGTCTCATCTAACTTGTGCCCAGAGTGTTGTCCTCTGCTGCCCAGCAACTGTGGGCCTGCGCTGGTCCAGACAACCCTGCAAACTTCTCCGCCACTCCATGGGCTAGGACCGTGATTTCTCCAACAGAGTCTGGGCCCCAGCCATGGAGACGGGACCCTTCCAAGTCTGTTCTTCCTCAGCAGAAAAGCTCCAATTCAGGGCAAGTCTCCAGCCTTCACCCCGGGCTTCTCCTGTGATAAAAGGCTGCCTCTCGGCACCCAGCTGAGAAGATACCTATGAGTCAAAAGTGCTTCCTGCTTCTTTCCAGAAAGATGAAACTGGAATCAGGTTCTTGTACTGTACTTATAAAATGTATGTCCCCAAAGACTTGGAGCTTTTCTTCCCTTTGTTGAGTAGCTGAGGCTGCAGTATGTACCCTTCAGTTCAAATTCTGGTTTCCTTCATTTATGTGACATTTAACCCTTGCATTAAAGTTGATGAAACACCAAGTACCTTTGCAGCGCACATTTTAGGGCGGGATTCCTATCACCTGAACAAAGTCACCAAAAAAATCACTTTGAGAACATCAATAAGCCTCTTCAGGCTTGAGATTACAGAGTCATAATTTCCAATAAATAATTAATCTCCCAATGATTAGACATTTTAGGAGATGCTCTGAGGTTCTTAATAAGCGCCTGCTGAATTAATGGAAGGCATTAGATCCTGCTTTCCAAAGAGAACTCTAAAGCAGGAATATTGTTTCCTAACTGATTTTAGCTTCCTGTCACAATCGTTAGTTCTAGTTCCCTGGCTGTAAGCACTCTGACTCTTCGTAAGTCCCCAAACAGGGCTTACCGTTGAGCAGAGCCCTCCTGGCCTTGGCTGATGGACCCTGTGCCAGGAACCAGGCGATCTGAGTGCAAATTCAGTCATCTCCTCTGCGTGGCTTGGGCAACGGCCTGTTCCTCCTCTGGGTCTCTGTGTCCTCATCTACAAACTAAAAGGCTTACTGTAGATGGCTGCGATCAGGAACTTGTGAGCCATCCAGGAGTTGTACTCAGAATTTGGAGAGGTGCATTTTTCTGGAGAGATTGACTGCTTTCATCTGATTATCAAAGACATCTGTGGTCCCAGTGAGGTTGAGATCAAGTGTCCCAGATAACCATGAACATTCTTCCCAGTTAAAATGTCTGTGATGTGGAGTGACCTCAGGGTCACGTCAGTCTCCCAGGGCTCGCTCTCTGGCTCAGTTCTCTTCTGTCCCTTTACCCCACAGCCAGCCGACTTGGGTGATGCACAGAGGAAGTGGGGGCGGTCACGATGGAGTGTCATCAGAGGCCACAGCTGGGGTGAAACAGTCTAATCTTCACGCTCAGTTTAGGGCATGGTCCAGAATTAAACCAACACTGTTACAAACAGACAGAGGCTTAGCCAGGCCCCCAGAGAAAACAGCAAGAGTAAGTATTCATTTGGCCATCCCCAGTGGCAATGACAGCAGCTGCCAGAACTCTTGTCCAACCACTACCTCTCTGAGTAAGAAGTCTGCCGCGATAGCTTTAGGACCAGATGCAGCTAGTTGATGCATCATCAAGTCAAACTCTGCCAGGATCACACCTGACACAGGTGTTATGTACCCTCAGGCCTTGGGCAGAATTTGTTTCTTTCTGAGATGGCAGCTGGGTTTCGGAGTTATTGTACAATAATTGTGGTACCTTCCCTATATCCCCTAATGTTCCCATCTTTGGTTATTTATCAGAGACATGCCCACCTACGGATCATCTGCGGTGGATTTCAGAGCCAATCTGGTTGACTCTCCTACCCCCTCCCCCACTAAGCAATAAACACTCCATAAACAAACTCCTTTTAATATGAACTGAGCAACATGACAATGAAAAGGTGAGTCTCCCAAATAAATACTGTCTTATAGATTCTAAAATATAAAGAGAATAATTTTCCCTTTTTTGGGGGTAAAGCATTATGACCATTAAGTTTCAAGTACCTTTAATATCTTCATATATTTTGACCTAGTAAGCTTAAGCTTTGAGAATTTATCTTCAGAATCTTAAGGGAAAGCATTATGCACAAAGATTTTCCCTGAAACATTATTGTAATAGCAAGAAAAAAAATAGAGAAAGAGAAAGAAAGCAAAGAGCTGAAATGTCCCAGTATGGGAGAATGGCCAAGGAAATTATGATAAATTCATCTGATGAACGATTATGCATTTGAAGAATGACTAGGTAGTCATTAATAACCCCATTCTTAAAAAAGATTTCCCTAGAAGGTATACATGGGGATGGTGGGATGGAGAAAGGGAGATGCCTGTCATTTGACACAGGCAAAGGCTGAGTCATGAAGTCATAAATCAGGAGGGAAAGGTGCGTTGATCGATATGGACTGTGTTTTAACGATGCAGTAGACTTCCCTGGACAGGAGTGTGTAGATTTTTGTAATATCTCTTGTTTTGCTTCTAGACGCTTCTAAATTTTGTGATCTCTTGTTACAGCCCTTCAAGGGAGATCACTGTGTCCGAGGACACTTCAGAAATCCACAACCCTGAGACTCATGGATTCTGCAGCCCCTTTCTCTATAATAGTCACGCCTGTGGTTTAAGATCCAAGTTTAGATGGGAATGCTCTGTACTTTCTGCACAATTTTTCTGTAAACCTAAAACTGCTCTAAAAAAAATAAAGGCTTTTATTAAAAAAAATTGATGGGGGGAAAAAGATCCAAGCTTAGGTGCTGTGTGGACTTTATCTTCCTGTCATCTGCCCAAGTTACCAAGGA